TCCATACATCAACTATATATCTGCAAAGCTACTATCGTTTCTGAGATCAAAGTTTAGTACATCAAAACATTTCAGCCAGGGAATTTTCTTTTCACACATTTTTCTTTCTGTTGCAGTCTGGAGAGAGTTTCCTACACATCCTAATTGCTTCAAACAATGTGTGTTGCACCTACTTGCAACTGTGTCACATTCATTTGATTCATGCTTCTGCTTGTGTTATCAAGTTTGTGGTGTTGAAGCTTCCAGTGCTGATCTAACCCTGAAAACACCCATTTAGCTCTCTGCTGTTTTGTTTTGACTGCAATTCAACCATTGTTATTACGATGTTTCACATTCAATCGTTCATATGAGAATGTAACTTTTATTTTACTTCCTATAACATCTAATCTGGTGTTTTTGGCCCGCACGGATTTTGTTACTCCGTATCCGCTCGGCACACCCCTAGTTTGTGTTTGCAACAAGTGTAACTGAACTCTCCTTTGTTCGGCTCGAAAGTGTCTCGTTTCCATGTGACTCCGCACTGCTCCCAGAAAAGTGTGAACGTGTGAACTTGAAGGCGAGACAGCTATTGAGGAGGGAAAGAGAGTTTTAAAAAAAAAGAGAGAGAGAGAGAGAGAGAGAGAGAGAGAGAGAGAGAGAATCGGGGGGTTTATTATTTCTGTCCAGTGTTTTCTTTCACAGTTCCATCACCCAGTGTGGAGAGGGATCCTTTTCCCCCCACTCACCATAGGTGTCAGAGAGGCCACACGCAAACTGTGCATGTGAACGCGCACGGTCCGCTCCGCACACATGCGCACACTCACACTCTTCTGGATGTCTGCAAAGGTCACAGCACTTACGCACTCTCTCTCCATCACTTATCACTCTCTTCTGTCTTGGCTATGTCTCTTTCTTCTGAGGGAAGTCTTGTTCTTCTCTCACCGCAGCTTTTTTTAACATCCTCAAGTCTTTCATTTTGTTTCTATTTTGCATGGACTGGACTCCTTTTAGGAAAAGGGACCAACAAATACACCTTTAATCAAATCGTCCTCTGCCAGTACATAATTATTCCAGTGCAAAAACATTTGATGATGAGCTTTTAAAACAAAGTATACTCAAAGAAAAAAAACACTCTCTCCCTGCTACTTCTGCTACTTTGCTTCCAACCCACCTCTTCGTCCTCCTCCTCTGAACTCCTTGCGCCCGCTCAGACTCCTCTTTCAGCTTCCCAGGATGCCATGCGGGAGACGGCGGAGCGGATTGCGCAGTTGGAGACGGCGCTGAGGGAGAGTATGAACACCTCAGCGCATAGGGAAGCTCTCTGGGCGCAAGAGGAGGCTGCACGTGTTCAGGCCCAGAGACAGGTTCACCTGATGTTTCACACGCTGATGGAAGACTCAAGACCAGCATATACACACATTCATGCACACACAGATAGTCTCATGCATCCCTATATAGGCAGCCTACCTTTAAAACTGAATGCATGTAACAGGCCACCTATAGGACTTAAAAGGAGCACTGAGAAAATGTGAGGAACTTAACTGCACCCCCATGTGGCTAAGAGTGTAACTGCATGCAAACTGTGGTGAATGAAAGACCCTTAATCCCTTAATATGTAGCTCTTGAGCAACAAATATCATTATTACAAAATGGATAGTTGTGTTTTGCTCCCTGTCTTTTATTTCCTTTTCTTCTTAACTCAGTTTTTATTCTCTAAACATGTTGTTGTTTATTTTCTCCCCCTAGACTGAAATTTAAAACTGAAACAAGAGCTCCCAGCATCCTCCTTTCATTTTCTGCCTCTCGTTAAGTTCGCCGTCGCATGCTTGGAAACGCGAGCATATGCTTGACACATTGCGACTTTATGTACATGCAATCTGAATTTGTTAACAAATGTCTAGACTTGTAGTCTTGATGGAGTACAGGCTGCCCTTTTCACTCTGTGCGTCCTGCTATCTGTCTGTCTTTCCGACTGCCAGCTGGTCAGTCTGCATTCTTAAGTAGGTCCAAAAATGTATTTGTATGCATTTGTGTGTACGTGTGTGTGTGTGAGCGTAGGTGTGTTTGTGGTGGGAAAAAAAAACAGGGCAAGGGAGTGTGTTTCCTCCCGGTGTGAGCGTGCATTTGAATGAGAATGACCTTGCATTGCTGATGAGTGCCACGAGCAATATGAGAGCAATCGGCGGTTAAACGAAGAGCTAACATTTTGAGGCAGTAGTGGCTGCATTGTTTCAAACACATACATATTCTCACACACACACACAAAAACACGGTCTGATAGAGGAGAACTTTCAACGATGAAGTGAGGAGTTTGGTGGACAGAGAGGGAAAGTAGGAGGAGGTCAAACTCAGTTTAGAAAATTCTGTGAGAGCCAATGCTAACTGTGGCTTGTGTTTTCCTCTTCTTCTTCTTCTTTTTTTTTTTGCAATTTCTGTGCTTCACATGCTTGACTTACAGTCAGCATGGATACTGTGTTTATCAAACAATATTCTGATCCACCGAGAAGTCCGAAAGAAAATTATATTTATGTCTGTGGGACATTTCGCATGCATAGAAGTGGATGATTCAGCTTTGACCTAAGTTTACCCCTGTGCAGTGAGAATCCGGGAAATCCTGTCCTGACTTGTGACACGTTAAAACTCATTGACCCCAAAAGTCATAGTCAACTTGCTTTCATTTCAAGTCAATCCAGACCCTACACGTAGAGAGCATAATGAGCCAGCATGCAGTCATACTGGCGACTGCACTTGACACGTATTGAGCCGGACTAGGGTTACAGTCGCGCTACTGACGCAAGGAAAGGTACCCGTTTGGCCTGGGTGCTCGGTTGTGATGCTCGCTGCTACAGTAGGTGCTGTCAACACACTGAACTTTGTGAGCCAGAATGACATCACCACATAAGGAGGCAGCGAGTCAACATGCCATTAACATGCAGTTACACAGTCGTCAGTCAACTGCCGCTCTTGCCTGAGACTCTGGAGAAACAGAGAGTGTGTGAAAAGGGATGTTTGGGGAACAGCGAGAGGGACAGGTCCTTCTGAAACATCACCTGACCCTGGCACCGTTTCAGAGTGCCCTGCCAGACTTACATTCTCACATTTTTTTTCCCCGTCTCACTCCATCCTTGGTTTTCTTCTTTCTTCTCCCCTCTGTCCCAGAGTAATCAGTCTCATGATGTGTAATGCGCTGAAAGTCTTCCATCAGCCTGACCCGCTGAAATGGAGCATGGGTAATGCCCTGGGTCACTTTTCTTCACACCCCTGCTCTCTAAGTCTCTCACTCCGTCTCGGCTTCTCTCCGTCTCTTGTCTTTCTCCTGCCATCATTTCGGCTGTCCATCCGTTGTCCCGAGCCTCATTCTTCCCCATCTGCCTTCTTAAGTTGTCTCGCCCAATTATCTCAACGCTCTCTCTCCCTTTCTCCCCGTCTCTGTTCCTGTCTCTCTCCCTCGCTCCCCCTCCGTGGCGTTTGAACTGGGCCTCTGAACCAGCAACACCGACGTAAATGGACAAGAGGGATTTGGCCCTTACCTCTGAGCCCCCAATCAGCTTAGCAACTAAAGGGGCTTTGGGCCAGTCTTAGTGAGCCTTAGCCTGGCTGGGGGGCTTTGCCTTGAAGTTGAGCTAAATTAGCACGCACAGGCTCACAGCTAAGCTGATTAGGTCCCTAATTTCACTAAAATGCATTGTATTCCTTATTAATGATGTGATTGTGAAGTGAGGGCTAGCCTGGGTGGTGGACTAATGGGGGACTGGGAGGTAGGCAGTTGGTGCATGAGGGTTGATAGACATGTGGTGGGTGTAAATGGAGTTGTGTGTGCGCGACCCTTGGCTTTCAAGATGAAAAGACTGGCTTTGGATTCCTTTAAGCCTGAAAGAAGACATCAAACATCAAACACGGTGTGATTTTGGACGGTTGGATGTCTTGTTGATGTTGGGTATATTAACTGCTGGATACTACTGAGGTCAGTTGTTGTTGGCACGGATATGGGGGTGTATTTTATATGAAACAATGCTTTGTTACATTTCTGGGCGGGTTATGACTGAAAGCTGTCACTTTCCCACCATTTGGAATTTCTGTATTCCCCACTCGCTTTGCTCTCAGCCTTTCTTCTCTCGCTCCATATGTGATATTCATGAACAGTCAGCGAGCACATTATCTGACATCTGCGAAACACACCTAGAAAACCAGGGGAGATGGAGAGTGTCCTGAAAATGTGTGAACGATTTGGCCCCTTCATAAAAGAGGCCCATTCCTTTTTTCATGTCCTACCCCATGGAGTGCTTTCCCCAAATACTCCTTCTCTCTCTCTCTCTCTCTCTCTCTCTTTTTGCTTCTCCTTCACTGTCTTTCCCTTTGTTCATTTGAGATCCAGCACTTTTTTATTGTTTGGCTATCTCATGTCACAAATCTGCAAATCATCAGAATTGAACAAAGACAAATTCAAATTCTCCCCGGCCTTCCATTTGCATCATCTCAACAAGCCCGCCTCACACTGCATCCTATTGTAAAGCACTTGTTGTTAGACAATTAGACACTTCCTGTCTTTGGATAATGATGCCCCGAGGTCACATCCTGTCTGTCAGACTCACAGGTTGGCCTGCATGGCTGGAGGGCATGTGTGTGCAGAGGGAGGAGATGTAGTTGAGGGGTTGAGCGTTATTCTCACCTGCTCTAAAGTAGAGCCATACTTGAGGGTGAGATAAAAATAAGTGGAGAAAGGTGGGAGAGAAGAGGGAGCCCTTGTTTCTCGTCCAAGGGTCAGTGGACGTATCATTCAACTAACCTTTGAACCTTAGTAATTTCACCTGCTCCAAGATGTCAACCGGCCATTTCACCTCATCGTGGCATTCCAACACACACACACACACACACCCTCTGAAAACATATATCCATGCAGACAAATAAAAGTGCACATAAGTGTTTATCTATTTTACCATGTACGTGTGTGATAAGTATGCAATAGGTCTCGTATTTTGAATTTCCGTGTAACCTGTGTGTATTTTTCTCCCCTTGAATAGTTGGAGGAGCTGATGAGTGCTTTGGAGAAGACGCGCCAGGAGCTGGACGCCACCAAACTGCATCTGTCCTCCACTCAGCAGTCGCTGCACGAGAGAGACGGACACCTTAATTGTCTTCGCCAGGAGAGACGCAAACAGCTGGAGGAGATTCTGGAGATGAAGTTAGTCTCACACTCTTCGCCATCTGTCTTTACACAACGCTTACATCTGCATAGTATTTATATCTTATCTCTCCATCTACCTTAATCTATCCTACGTACCTAATTTCCCTTCTTGGTCAGATCTAAGTCTTTTCACGTCGTTACAGGCAACACAGAACAATAATCACATACCATATGCTGCATCCTGTACATGCATTTCTCTAATCAGTAAGACTTCACCTTGGCTATTGCAGCATTATGAATTAATTATCCTGCATTTGCATTACGGGAAAAAAAAAGGTTGTGTAATACAGAGTAAGAGCTGCTGGTAACTGCAATAAGATAAACAGTCGGAAAAAAATAAACCGCAAGTGTTTGTGGTAGTGGCTGCACACCCAGCCTGTAAAAGTATATGATCAAGGATCTTTTATTAACATTGGCACTGTTCGCTCAGTGCTTCATCAGGCGCATTTTCATTACCCTGCACAGCAGCTTTCACTGCTGCAGCAGAGACCTGTGTCTAATACTGTGTTAGGCACATTTATACGCTCACATGTGCAGCTGCGCACGAGTGTTATATAGACATCAGCGCTGAGGTGTGTTTTGAAGCAGGATCAGCCGTTGTCTTTCGCTGCCTTGTGAAACGTTACATTTATTGAGGACAGGTGGTGCAGCCTTAGACAGCAGGTTAGAAGAATGTGTGTTTTGCTGTTTTATTTTTTTATTATTCGTCGGTCTGCGTGTGACAAAGACAGCAAGAGAAGGAGGAAACTGAAAAAAAAGTGTACAGGGACTGGCTGCATTTCCATGTGTGAGTGTGTGTCAGTGGGCATGTATGAATGTGTGAGTGAAGTTCAGTGATCTGTCAGTGGAGCGGCTACATGTGCGTTTGCTTTGAGCCCTCTGATTGAAGGAGCATGGAGCCACAGATCTGGTTGTCATGTGCTGCAGAGAAATGCCTTTAATGTCAGCCACTCAGCACAGTACAAAAGGGAACGCTGGCACATATGTATTGAAAACACAACTTTTAAAATCCATTACGCCTCACAAGCCCCTCTGATCACACTAACTCTGCAGGAATGTGTGTGTGCGTCCGTGTCTGCCTACAGTATGTGTACAGTTTGTCTGAGAGAAACTGAGTATGAGAGCGCTCTTGCCCGTGTATCTGCACACACACGCACTTGTGAAACAAACCATCTTCCTGTCTGTTCCAATTTCCACCATCCAAACATCACCAGAGATGTTTAGCAGAGGAAATGTATTACATATGATACAGACACAATCCGTGCTTCTAGGTATGTACATGGAATTAGAAAAAGGCTCACAGGCCTGGCACATGAGTGATGCTTTTTGTACTTTGCTGGCACTCTGCGTAAATTATTATTATATTACCATTAAAAAGATGTCTGAGGAAGAAGGTTAGTGTGATGGTTGGTTGACATAAACAACAACAAAGTCGATGGGATTCTTTGCCTTTGTGTTCAAGACTCTGACTGCAAGTCTACACTGGTAAGAGCTAATGGAGGGGGCACAGGGGGCACGAGTGTGTGTGTGGTCCCTTGTGGCTTTGAACCTGTATGTGTCTGTGTGTATGAAGAGGTCAGAGGCAGGGGTTTGGGGTCACTGATGATGAGGATTAAAGGACTGTTGAATTGCGAGGGGGCGAAGCTTCGTGAGACTGACTTACATCTGAACAAGCCACAAAGATACGCATGCAGAATGTACACACAGCCTCAGTGGAACTCACATATAATCACTCACGTCTGCAGACATGCACATACTTACACAAACTTTGGCTTTCTGTTTTAAAGGGGCCATATTCCCACAGCACAGCTCTGGTCCAAGTTAGCACAAGGAAAACTAAACAGGAAAGATAAGGCGGAGAAAGAGAGGTAACGAGAGAGAGAGAGAGAGAGAGAGAGAGAGAGAGAGAGAGAGAGAAGGGGAGAGGGAGTTAAGAGTGAAAGCAAGAAAAAAATGAGACAGAATGAGAGGGAGGGGAGGATGGGATGGAGGGGCTACGCAAACTGAAGTATTTCAAATCTTAGAAATCATGAGAGAAGTTTGATTGCATGCCAAGTTTCTCCTTCTCTCCGCTGTAATGTGGCATTTGTCAAGAAGACCAGCTGAAGCAAACCATGTGAGGCACGTTCCCCAGTGAACTGGGGAGCTGTGTGTGTGTGTGTGTGTGTGTGTGTGTGTGTGTGTGTGTGTGTGTGTGCATAAGCCAGAGAGAGAGAGAGAGAGAGAGAGTGAGCAGACTCTTGGCTTTTCAACACTGTTAATGAAAGAGACAAGAGGGGAAAAAATCATTTTCAATATCCTCTCATTGCATGCTGGGTTTCCTAGCTTGTATTGTGTGTGTGTGTGTGTGTGTGTGTGTGTGTGTGTGTGCGCGTGTGAGAGAGAGAGCACTTTCATATTTGCCTTTTTCAGATATAGAGCTAAATGCTTGATGTATAAGGAGCGGTGTGGGTCTGCTCTGTCACCCCACACCAGATAGAGTTTCCACCATACTGTACAGCACTCACACACACACATACATACATACAAACACACACACTCTAACAGATGACCTCCAGAGGAGCTAGTCATTAAATGTGTCTGGGGTCACAGGGTGTAGGTGCACAATAGAGAAATTATGTGTTTGGACATTTTGAATAGCTTGTCATTGAGATGTTTCCATAGTCTGAATGGGATAATACTACATGCCACAACATTGCAGTGGCTTACTCAACTCGATCCTCCTGTAGACACTGGGAATGTAGCTGATATTATCTCTGTTTACATTTTAGTGATGGAAAATGATGATAGAGCAAAGAAACAGGTAGCGGCAGCTTTGAGGCGGGCGCATAAAGAGATGCAGAGTTGACGAAGTGGAAATTTTTTCGAGGGAGTGAAAGGGGGACACGACAACTTGAGAGATGGAGGGGAAAATCTTGCAAACATTAGTCGAGAGGGTAAAATGTAAGCGGGGGAAAAGAGAGAAGTCGTAGTAGAAAGTTAGGGAGGAAATAGTAAGCGGTGGTAGAATGAGGGGGTGATTGATGAAGGGGGCGATGGATGGAGGAATGGAGGAGGAGAATAATGGAGGAAGTGGTGGAGGAAAGAGCAGGGAAGAGATCGAGTAGAGCTGTGAGAGGTGGGAGGGAGCAGAGTCTGGTTAGCAGAGTAGAGCTAGAGACGGGGAGAGGAATGACTAAACACGACATACTATGTATCAGCAACACCTGCACCACATCCACCTGTTAATTCACTCTGTGATATGAGAAATTAAGGATAAGTTGGAGAAAAGATGTACATTACATAATGACATTAAACAGATAGTTTGGATCTTTTGCAGTGGGGTTGAATGAGGTACTTATCTATAGTTACTGTATTGCCTGTCGTACTGTACATGGCAGGCGGCACAGCCCCAGTTTGGAGAAGCAGGCTGGAGTACAGACACAGAAGCTAAGCAATGTACTGCTGTGGATGGGGGCTGCAGCAAAACATATTTTAGCCAACTAAAAGATTCTAAAAAATCAATTTAAGTGTATGATATATTGAGAGTATTTTAAAAGCTTTACCTTTCTGTCAGACAGCCCTTTTCAGACCGACAGGGAAGCTGTTAACGACTCCAGGTCCCTGTCTATGCTCTCGTCAAAGCCACCAGACTCCACTGACAAAAACAGTAATTTAGGTCTCTAAACACAGGAGCTGCTGGTCTACCACTGCTTCAATCAGTTAGTTAGTTTGTGTTATTGTCTGACTTTGGTGAAGCCGAACTAACTGTTTTAAACACCATAGTTACACAATAACACAACTGATTGAGGGAGCGGCAGACCATCAGCTCCTGTGTCCAGCTATTGTAAATTACTGTTTTTCTCAAAGGAGTCTGGCTTCAAAGAGAGCATTGGACTGCCTGCTTTTCCAAACTGGGGACCTGCTGACCGCCATCTACTGTGTGTCATACACCGACTCTGGATAAGTGCCTCATACAACCCCACTTAAAAAGATCCGAACTATTCCTTTAAGTGCCTACTTTGCATCATCTTTTTTTTGCTACCTTATATTTCTCTACTTTAATCTCACATGTTGGACCAAAAAAAACACATAGAAAAAGAAAGCTAATTCCTCAGAGTAACACACAAGCAACTCTTATCCCCTTCCCTTAAATATTTGCCCAACAGATATCCATAAAAAACTGCTGAGTTTTGGACACACACTTAAAATTTGTGGACCTTTCAGACGGAAACATACCCTTTGTGTCATTCTGCAAAAGCAAACTTTTGGCTATGCTCTTCATCATGTCATCAATCCAACACGAAAAGGTAAATTAGCACTTCCATACAGTGTAAATGTAACAACCCCGAAATTCTGCTCTGTCCGCGAGGTGTGTTCATGTATCTGTTTGTTGGCTAGTTACAGTAATCCATGGCATAATGAAGCTTAGAGCAGTAGCGACGTTATGACTTTCAAATCCCCAATGTAGACATCCTGTCTGCACAGCGCCATTGCCATGGTTACACTGACTAAACACACAGAGAGACCAGCTGTACTGGCAAGGTCATGTCCCCGCTCACTGATCTCTCTGAGGGGCCTGGACACACACACACCCTTACAAACTTGCACGCGTGTATATGCACATACACAGCGTGTACACTCATAAAAACACATTTTTTTTTTACCAAAAAAGTACCTTCACACATTCATATATTCAGCCGAGCAGCATTTTGTTAACACGGTTTTGAACTTACATTCACATGTAATGGCAAAATCTGCAGACAGGTATGGCGTTACAGTGCCATTGTTGTGATAAGTAATGATGAGACACGGAGGGCCGGCGCAGTGTGTGAATGGGATTCTCTGTATTGCGGTGATGAGGAGGGGCTGACCACACATCACCTTCCTCTCTCTGTGAGCAAGTTTGTATGCGTGTCGCCTCGTGGGAACTTCGGGCCATTCATCATGTCTGTCTGTGCTCCCGTGCCCTCTGACACACATGTTTACCTTCGACATGTGTGTCGGCCGTCTGGCCA